CAGGCCCCTTAAAATTTCTGCAGGAATTTTCTAGTTCAAAGTTAACCTTCAAAGATGTTCCAATCTGATGGACAGAAAAACATTTTTCAAAGAAGAATAGATGTACTGCCATCTGTAGATGTGCAAATTATGAGCTACTTTCACTTCACAATAATGCATCACTTCATGTTGATTTATCACACAAAAATTAAAAAACATTCGTTAACCTTTGTGAGTGTAATGTCATTAAAAGTAAGAATTTTTTTTTTACAAGTACTGTTCACTTTATGTAAAAAGTGACCTGAGAGGGTTGATGGTCACACCTTTATTTTTCCCTAAATAAGCAGTCCTCATCATCTTAATTACCTTAGCCCTATTATTTTGGTAATACACACCCACATACATAAATCAAAGAAAGACAACAGAAAAAAAGAAGTTTTTAAAGTACCAGACTTTAAATCACTGTGTCAACAAAAAGCATCCCATTCCTCCCATTTGGGCATTTACAGAGGATTTGCTAAAGCTGTACATTTTGCGAAACGGATTTTCCTCCTTTTGGATCCTGGAGGTCCTGCTGAAAAACAGCCACACTGATTGTATTGTGCTGACTGAGGAACAGTATGGGTAGCACGTAGCAAAGTGTGCAGGAGTGGGAGGCCTATGGTGTGAGCCTCCTTTTATCCAGGTTCAATGGCTCAGAGAAAAGGGTGATTAGTTCATCCTATCTGAAAGTGCTGCCACCATCTTTGGTTACTGAGATAAAAGCCATGCCTCACACTGAAGAGAGCAGCCATTGTCTAGTTTAAGTATAGGCAATGAGCAGCAGGGAGGAATGTCTCTTTAAGGCATTTCTATTAGAGTGTTTTAAAACAAACCAGACTCTTTGGAGACCAAGCCGTTGCTTCACTGTATAATTTAATACCATAACTTTCTCCTCAGAAACAAAGAGCCCATTGATAGAGAGAATAATAGGATGTATGATGACAGAAAAATTCAGGAGAATTTTTTCCAACTTCCAAGCCCATCAACCTCCCCTTAGAGAGATACCCCAATGAGTGGCTTGCCTGTTCAGGGAGTGTACAGCTAGTAATAAACCACAAGTCAGTTGCAGACACAAGATCAAAATCATGAGAAGTTTCCTGTATGCCTATAAGCCATGAGATAAACTGTTTACAGGAAAGCTTTGCCAAGAGTTGGTTCATGGTATGCGGGCTGTCCGATCTGGATCACTGGTTATAAAGTCCCATCAAAAGAGCCTTCTATGTTTCGGCAGTGTGAAACAATGCTTGTACATAAGGAGAGGAGCTGCTGGAAGCTGAAGTGTGACCACCAGAAATAATTCCCAGAGCTGCAATCAGGGTTTCAACACAGTCTGAAATTTAAGTATTTTCCAGCACTGCAAGTACGGATAAAAAAGACTCATATATTTCCGTAATTATGTTATATTTTCCAAATGTTTTATGTAACCGTATAACCAGTTTGCATTTTTGTATTTGAGATTTACCCCCAATATAAGTGTTAGTTGCAGTCATATGCAGCCATTTAACACCTTAACATATGAAAGATACAGTAAAACTACAGCTGAACAACAAAAACACCACACTTGTGTAACCCCCATAAACTAGGCTGCTGTCTGTACGTTTTAAGTAATTTTGTTAGTTTTTTAAATGTCCTGTAGAGGGCGCTAGTCCCACAAGTCTCCCGTATCTGTCAGAGAAGAAATGGAAGCCAACTAGAAGCAGCACATTTCAGCAGAAGTAGAAAAGTTTTTTTTTTATTATTGGAATTACTCGTCATAAGTGCTATGAAAAAAAATCAGTTTGTGCTGAACTGGACAATGTTTTGTTCTGGGATTTCTCTTGTGAGTCTGTTGTTTCATTTCAGCTACTTACTTAAGGTGAATGGCTGCCTAGGCCAGAGCTAACGTTGCTCAGTTTTAGTTGAACAAAAAACAAAAAAGAAAGAAAAAAAACAGTATGATGTGTAGCTCTGTAGCTATGTGAAATGAATGGTGAAGTAATGTCTGAACCATTTCTGCTATTAAGTTCATTTGTGGGAGTTTATGGTTCATTAAATGCTAATGCAGTTTACACTGAGAAAGAAGTAATTGCAGGGTCTTATACTGACGCCCATATACCTGCATGGTTGGTTAATGCTCTACATGCAAGCTGGGGTTTTTTGTACAGCCGATATCTGAGTGAGCCGGCGCAGTTCCAGAAGGAGAAAGGTCTCGCCACCATTTTGACTCGGACTGAAGCCCAGAATGTTGTGGAGAGACATCGTGTTGATGTTGCTGTATGCGTTGCTTGGACAACTGATAAGCTTCTTTAAAAAAAAGAGGGGCCTCCAATCCGTTCAATTCTTTCATTCCACAAACTATTTGTTCATTAACAATTTCAAAACCGACAACTAACGTATACATTGACCGAGCTGACTGACTGAACTGTTACACTGAATGATCTGTATTTTTATTGAAAAATATATATATATATTGAAGTGATCTCTAAAGCTAAAAGGTTAGAAAACTATTCTGGTTTCTTTACGGGTAGACAATTTAAATTTTTTCCTGTTTATTGGTTGGAAATTGGTATTACCTGGACTTTTACTTTTTTTGGTGGAAAGACAGGATAACTTGAGTTGTTAAAACTTTGTTTTGCTCATCATTCTCCTATGTGACCACTAAGCATAAGTAACTTTGCTAATGAATTAATTGCTCATTTGGTTAAGTAGTGATTACACTTGTAAATCCAGCTTTTTCCATTGTAAACTAAAGGTGCCATGACAGGATTGAGCTGTTTTTCCTTCCTTATTAATAGAGAACTAGACCCCACAAGACTAATCTAACTTGTGAACAAATGTCAACATCTAAACTCTGTCAACAATTAGATATTTCATTGCAGCATGTCAAATGAGGTAGAGTGCTACAACTCAAGAAGTCTGTGCCACTAACTGTTAACATCTGCTCTGCAGTATGCACGGGCAAAGTGACTCTGTTTGACGTTTGGTAGACATTTTTTGCTCAAAAGATCTCTATTAATGTTGAGATTATGATTTGTTAAATCATTTAGAAATGCAAGGCAGAAGCAGTCTGTGTTGATACTTACGATAGAGACAGCCTGCCTCCCCGTTAAGCTGAGACCATCCAGGACAGCATTTGTGTACCGTTTGGTAATCCTGTTTGTAAACCTGCCGATATGCTGTGTAATAAGCCGTCCTGTAAACATGACAAATATTCAGTTACAAACTTTTATACAAAAATGTTCAACAAAAAAAAAAAAAAAAAACAAGCTGGTAAAAATACCGATACTGAAAATGCTAAACTTTTGTTTAGCATTTTCTTATGTCAGCATTTACTAACATGAAGTTCACATCATATGTCAATAACAATTTACACCTACAACAAAAAAGAAATTGGGCTACAATTATGTGTAATTAGGTGAAAGACACAGGAAATAAAGAAACTGACTGACACACTTAACATAATATTAGAAACATAACTTATGAATTCAGAAATGCACAATTATAGCAATGATTTCTAATTGAATGCCAGCCAAATATATATTTACTGAGAAACATTATATGCTTTATACATATTTTCCCCTGCTGTTGATTTTTATGTGTACTAACAAAGTACACATAAAAATGAGTGAAATTTTTCCAAAGATTGTCAGTTTTAATCATAATCCACAATGTTCTGTGAGATCTCTCAATAGAAAACCGGATCTTTGAAGCACACGTGTGAAGTAAACCAAGACTTCCCAGGCTTTTAATGTTAAGGTAGTCGTGGATGGAGGCTGTCCCTGTACTTTGGCGACCCTCTCATTGCTTTGCTCACATTATACATTTAGTTTACAGCGCCTAATTGTTGCCTTGGCTGCCATCAAAGGAGCTTTTGACTTTGTGGAAGAGGTAAATAATGCCGAGAAATGGATCAGGGGGAACCCAGCTAAACCTCAGAAGGAAATGCTCATACTTAAAGGAATGCAAGCAGCAAAGACAGGAGAGTTAAGTAGCAGGTAGAGCCTCTGAAGAGGCAGCATTCATCTTGCACTTCACTTTACAGCAGGGTCAAAGCGGAAGAAGGAAATCAGGAAGCCACATGTCATCCTGTTTTGGCTTAAACACCAAGACCTCCTGGATAAAATATTCTAGTAGCATGAATCACGTGACCATGCAAAGCTCATGAATGAATGTTTCTCTCCTGCCAGGGCTCTGTCTGTAATACACGACATCCCCTGCAGGAGATGATGGGAGTGTTTAAAAGCAGACTAAAAGCATCTGAGTGATGAAAGGGAGGAGGAGAAACTCTGCAAATGAGCTGCATTACTCACCTCCTCTCGTATCCCATGCACCACAGCTGCCCTGCGCAGCCTTGCTTCCACACTTTAACCATTCGTGTGAAGGCCTGCACACATGGCTGCCTCTGGGCAACCAGCGTCACCTCCCTCTCTATGCACACGTTGGGCCTGGAATGAAAAACAGCAGAGAAAATGCTCAACACGTCAAGGTGGCCCTGTTGTGTTTCCTCAGATGTACAGACATCAGCGAGAGTAAATTTATGAACGCTTCAGGAAGGGTTGCGAGAAAAGATAGACGGGCAAGGCTCGTGTCAGGCATGTTTCCAATTGTTGATAGAGTGATGCCTGGGAAGTAATTACCTGCGTTCAGTCGGATCTCTTGGAATTCTTTTGAAGGCTTAAGGGGAATTCCTTATTCGGAAGGTCTCCGAATAGCAAAGCCCAGAGTTTTTCCCTACAACCATAATTAGATTTTACGTAATAAAACACCGAGTACATAATTGTGAAGGGGGAATAAAATTATTATTTTTATTTTTACAAATAAATCTGAGCAGTGTGACTTGCTTTTATATTCAACCCCTAATGAAGAAGGTATTCTAATAAGGGGAGACTGAAATTTAACTTGTGGATGCAAAATAAAGTGTCTGGTATCCGAAAACACCTTTTCAAACATGAAATATGGTGGAAGTGTCAACAACGTCCTGAGAAGAAGCTTTTTCTCCACAGGAGCAGGGAAGCTGTTGAAATTGATACGAAGATGGATGAAGCTAAGGAAAGGGCAATTTTTATTAAGTAATAGAGGCAAAACAACAATGAAACAATGGCTATTGGGGCTGATTTTGACAAGCAACAGAAAACATATTCAGGCCAACAGTGGATGGGTTAGATCAATACACATTCTTGTCTCAGAATGGCCCAGTCAAAGATCTGACATAAATCCAGTCGTGTCAAAAAATAAAAATTGAGCTTCAGAGATGCGTTTCATTTAATTTGACTGAAAAAAGAAGAATGGGCAAACACTTAAGTTGCTAAATTTGACAAAGCTAGCGAAGAATTTCCTCTAACATGTTGCAGCTGTAATAGCAGCAATACACATTTCAGCAGAGCTGAATATGATTTAAACACCACAATTTTTAGATTTATTTTATTGATTTAAATTTGTTTTACTGCAACTTTATCTTAACTTTTGGTTTCACTATTATGCATCAGTTTATGTCAGTCTGTTGCATTGATTAATGTAATACCTAGATGTTTTTACTTGTGGTTGTAAGGCTGAATATCATCATCAGACAGATAAATTAGGCAACATATTCTCCTTCCAGTGAACCTTCTAGTTTGATGTTGCATTTTTCCAACACATAGCCTGTCTTGATCAGCTGTAATGGTAGTTCAGTCATAAAAAACTGAAATGTGATCTTTAAAACTCTATTAAAAAACAAAAAAAAAACAAAAACAAAAACAAAAGCTCTACATGAAGCTAGAAGGACTGGCATGTTTGGAGATCAACAGGAATCCAGAGATAGCAACCAGCTGTTCATCTCAAAGGCAACATAATCACCATCACCTGCAGCTGCATAATGAAAAATCTTATTGTTCTGCCATAACTGAAGCACGTCTTTATTATTATGTGGTTGAAACTACCTGTTACAACAGACTGTCTTTATGTGACGCTCTTAAAAATAAACCGATTCTAGTTTTAGATTGCATGAAGATTGTGGTGTGAATACTGTAAGTCATAAATATTAAAGAGGAAATGCATGCAAATAGCACAGGCTGGTAGATGAAAGAGCTCCAAAGAACTTAAATGTTAGTTTCATTATTTGATTTTTGGTTTAAAATGCAATTTTGTAAACTTAAACATTTTTTTTTAAGTTTTTTTCAATAAGAAAGAAAATCTGCAGAAATGTATTTGTCTTAATTTTATTTTCACATTTAAAATAATAAACTAGTCTGTGCCACTACAGCGACAATGTTCTAAAATATTTTTCTGACAAGCTAATAATTCTGACTTCTGCATAATGACTGTAGGAGGCGCTGCTTCTTCTGTTCACCTCTCAGAAAGATAAGTATTGTTTTTCTTTCCGCATATCTTATGGTGTGGGAGTCCGATTCTCACCATTTATGGCCAGTGACATCACGAGGTGAAACACTGACAGGTAATTTGTCTGAATATGTTCAAATGAGCTCATTTCTCTTTGGTAGTTTATGTCATTTTATGCCTCGGTATATTTAGAAGTAAAATCAAACCAAATAAAATTTATGATCATTCATTTACGACCAAATTAAAAAGGCTTGAATTTCAATTTAGAATTTAGTATTTTTAAGAAAAGCAAAAAAGAAAAAAGAAAAACAATTTGCTTTCTTACAAATAGTTTCTGGACATAAATTTAGTTACTAAAACAGACAAGGACCTTTTATTGCTGTTTTGCAACAGGTAGGTGAACCTATCCTCCAAACTCAACAATATTTTAAGCAATTAGTTAATCAGCTTAACCACTTAACTTTGTTGGAGACGAATAAAACATCGTGTTATGTAAATAAAACCACCATTTACTCACATGTGAGGTTGGAGATTGCTTGCAATAGCGTAACTGAGTGATTGAGCCTCTTTAATAAATATTAAATAAAAAGAAAAAATGAAGATGTCCATTTTCTTCTTCGTGGGTTTCTTTTTTTTTAGCTTAAAATGTAAAAATCTCACTCAAAAACATATTTCATAGTCTTCAAATTACCCAAAGGAGCACCATTAATGTATGAAAAATATCCAGTTAGAAAAACTTCAACTGTGCGTAAATGTTCGTCCGTGCAGGAAATCCATGAGTCATCAAAGTGTGTCCTCCTTCTCGCGGCCGGTGTTTGGCACAGACTGGAAAACTGCAGCTCGAGCCAACGACTCGTCTCTGCAGATGTGGAAATGAGGGATAAAAACCTCCCACAGGCTGGTTGTGCGCTTTCCACCCATTGAGTTGGTAGTGATGGCTGAGGTGCGGTGGGCTGTTGGGAGAGGGCGGTGAGAGCCACATTTTATTCAAACTTTCTGAAAGCCACCGGTGAAGCGCGCATGTGGGAGACTGAGGATGTAATTGGAAGCAAAATGAGAAGTTATTACAGTATGATTTTTTGCTTCATTTTAAAACATATATTTCCTGCTCATCGGGGAAGTTAGTTTAAAAAAAAAATTAAAAAAGCACTCGTAGATTGTGCGCGTAAAACTAACCAATGATGTTGCTGTTGCGCGCACTGGCACAACCTCTGAAATAAAGGCGAGCAGGTTGGTTGGATGGGATGCTGCTGCTATTACCCCAAAGCAGGAGAGGATGTATTCGGCTGCAGCAGGGAAGCGTCTGAAGCGGTCGCTCTACTGATGGAGCAGCCAAAGGTTCAGGAGCCCCATCTGAGCACCGCTGTTCTCCAAACAAAGTCTGCATTGCCCTCATATGTGTTCATGACCCGGAAGAGTCCCGGGTCAGAGCAGCATTAAATCAGCATGCTGTGCTTTACCACAGCATGCTGTTTTAATTAGCTTCCAGACATATCAGCTCATCTCAGACATGTGCTGTAGTTAGTTGAACTAGACTAATGACAATCAGGTGGACTTGTTTATTTTCATTTCTAGAACTACTTCTGCCAGACAAGAATCAGGGTCGACCCGTCGCCAAACAAGAAATGAATGCTTAAAATTTAAATAGACAAATAAGATATGAGTCACCCACGTGGCTCAAACTTGCAAATAATAGGCTAATTATTTCAGGATACAGCACATCTCAGTAAATCAGTATCAGATTGAAAATCCCAAGCATAGAGATGACTAGAGATGACTTCACACATGTTCAGCAGAAAGTCATTGACATCCCACCAGAAGGATAGCCCACAAAAGGTCAATGAAAAAGAGGCTGACCAGACACCGAGTGCTATATTCAGGCATGTTAATGGAAAGTTTAGTAGAAAGAAAACATGTTGTATGAAAAGGTGCAAAAGCATCACAGATACATGCAGCCATGGCACATTGATGCAATAGTCTAACATTTACATTTAAATTTTTATAGATTTATTTTTGCAATATTCAGATTCTTTGAGAAACAACAAAAAAGTTTTTATTATCTATAAATCATATTTATTTATATATCAGAGCTGTCATAGTTGAGCTGCATATGCATGTATGAATTAGGTAATGTATTGTAATAACATCCTAGGATTGTATCATGTATATCTAAAAATTTAAATAATTTTATTTCACATTTTTTAAGAATATTTATTTTATAGTGATTAAACTGTTAAGAGTCGCCCTGTTTGGATGATGATTTGCTGCCGCCCTGTGTTCAAAAATATGAACTACATCTAAACGCTGCGACCACCACAGATAAAAAAAGGGAGAGCCGGACAAATATTTACATGAGTCCATACCACAGGAAGTGGTCATAAAATGAACCTTGCTCCGCTTTAGTTGTAACCTTGATATAGCCAGGTGGTATAATCTCACACGGAATATTTTGCGTTTTATACGGACTAAGTAACTTTAAGACGCTCCCTTTTTATCCAACCTTTGCCCTTAGTCACACGCTAGCTGCTCGTAGCATGGTGTGGGTAATAAGAGGCGGACTCTGCACAGTCAGACACACCAACAACATAAAAACCGTCCTCGTGCACTTGCCTCAGCTTGCATCCTGCAGAAACATGTCTTCGTCCCCAGTTAAAAGGCCAGTTACTTTACTGGGAACCATGGCGTTCGGGGGACGAGCGGACGCCGAGCAGAGCCGGGAGATGGTGAAGGCTTTTCTGGACAGGGGGCACAAGCATGTGGACACAGCCTTCATGTACGTGGATGGGAAGTCGGAGGCCATCATAGGAGGCATGGACCTTCCCAAAACAGGTGAACTGAAAGCATCCAGAGCTGCTCAAACTGAGTTTTTAACTAATGAAACTAGAGAGTTCCCCCTGGAGTGAGAAAATAAGTTGTTGGTTCCTAAGTTTTCCCAGCACTGTTCGACGAATACAGCATGCTGGATTTTAAGTACTCATTCAGAAGTAAAACGTATAGTGTGAAAGTTTAATTGTTTATTTTTATTTTATTTTATTTACGTTTGCAGAAAAAAAAATATTGCAGTTTTTATTTTTGACCACAAGATGGCAGCAACATATTCTATGAAAGGTGCTCATTTAGTTGACCCTAAGGTCGGAGTTCATTGTTTAACCTCTAGCCTTGTTCAGTCTGTGAAGTTTAAAGTTTACTTAAGTTCACTAAGTTGACACGGTTTTGTAATTTATTTAGGTTAGCCAATCAAGGAGTGCATGGCAGCTGGAGCCTCTCAGTTATTCTGACTGAAATAGCTGAATTTTTGCTTTAAAGGTTAGGATGCTTAAAATTCCTCCTCTTTTGTCACTCATGGTTACTTTTAAAGAAAATGTGATGCAATCATCCCTCTGTATCAAAAGGTGGTTACAGGAATGTTTGTTGCTACTTAATTGCACCCAACATTAACCATTCATCGAATCACCACAAACCTCAAAGAGACAAATTCGGTTATCTGCGAAGAGAGACTGTCATGGAGACCTTGACAGTCCAGTAAATCCCATTGTCTCAAAAGGATCAAACTAAAGAAGCATGTTGGCACCAGTCTTGGTCAATAACTAACATAAGCAAAGCTAGCTTATGTTGTCTATATCATCATGCGATGTTGGAAGTGTGTTGAGATAATTAAATAACATTTCAGTCTAGAAATGATTTCATTTTCCCACAGTAAGCATAGCAACCAAGGCAAACCCGTGGGATGGGAAAACCCTGAAGCCGGAGAGCGTCCGCTCACAGCTTGAAACCTCCCTGGAGAGACTGAAGACTGACTGCGTGGACCTCTTTTACCTTCATGCTCCTGATCATCAAAACCCCATCGTGGAAACTCTCAGGGCTTGCAATGAGCTCCACAAAGAGGTGAGCTTACTTGGGAACTTCAGTGTTTAGTTGAAAATTATGTAATAGCTGGGTGTGCAAATACAACACTTAACAAGATGCTTCTTTAAACTTTGGATGCTGTTTTCTTATTTTATTTTAGAGAACGTTAAAGTGTGATTTAATGTAAAAAAAAAAATCACCAACAGGGTAAATTCAAAGAGCTTGGACTGTCAAACTACGCGTCTTGGGAAGTTGCTGCAATTGCGTGCATCTGCAAACACAACAGCTGGATTATTCCCACTGTTTATCAGGTATTTCAGCATTTTTATTCCTAAACAGCTGTAAAACAAAGTAAGTTTTGAGCAAGTAATTAAGGAATCTGTAGGTAAGGAAAGATTTGAATATAGTTATTTCACCAAAATTATCCCTAATCACAAATATGTGTTATGTTTCTCAAATTTGCTGAATGTTAGGAACAGAAATCTGAAGATGTGGTCAGTTAAAGACTGTGAATAAATGAAAAATCAAAAGGAACTTTCATAGTGGTAAGGTAGTTCCTTGACCTGGATTTTATTCTAGGATTTCATAATAAAGTGAGCTGAACCAAAAGACAAGCTGAATTCTTAGGATTTTTGTCGAAAAAATTGTCCTTCTATTTAGCAACTATGTGCTACTTCCTATCACATGAGAACCCAATAAAACAGAGTGTAGTCATTCAAAATTCTCGTCTAACTCTAGAAAAAGTAGTAGCTTGTTTGGTGACTGTAACTCACAACTTCTCAGGGAATGTACAACGCTACAACAAGACAGGTGGAGACAGAACTGCTACCATGCCTGAGATACTATGGAATGAAGTTTTATGCATACAATCCTCTCGCAGGTACTTTCTTCTGTGATTAATCTTATTAATAGTTGAAGAATGTAAAAAGTTAAAAATTTTCCCTCTTCTTCAAAGAATTCCTGCAAGTTTAATGTTTAAAAACTACTTTTCCAGACTCCAACTTCTAGATTAAAAGAAAAAAAAAGCTATTGCACTCTTACCATTCGAATATAAAACATTTATATTCCACTGAAATTCCACAAATTATGAAACTGAAACATTGTGGGGTTCTGGACTAACTTTGAGCTATATTAAAAATCATGAACATTTAAGCATGTCAACTCTAGATTGAGTTTTTGTATTTAAAGCACAATTCCTGATCTTTGAAACCTTATTTTGTTTGCAAAAAGAAAACGGGTGTTTCAATGTTTTTACACTGAAACTTCTGTTTCAGTGTAATTTATCCAACTTTTGAATCACCTAATTTCATGTGCATATTTTCTACACTGCTCAAAAAAATAAAGGGAACACTCAAATAACACATCCTAGATCTGAGTGAATGAAATATTCTCATTGAATACTTTGTTCTGTACAAAGTTGAATGTGCTGACAACAAAATCACACAAAAATCATCAATGGAAATCAAATTTATTAACCAATGGAGGCCTGGATTTGGAGCCACACACAAAATTAAAGTGAAATGTTCCCTTTATTTTTTTGAGCAGTATATATTAAAAACATTGTGACATTTCATTTTGGCATATTTCTAGATTTACTGAAGTTCTGGACACAAGCTAATTGTAAACATCTAGGAATATACTTATATAGGACATTTTCTGTATTTTTGTTGTCACCTGGACATGTCTGAGTGCTGATGTGGCTCCTCGTCTTCAGGCGGTCTCCTGACGGGGAAGTACCACTATGAAGACAAAGATGGCTCTCAGCCTTCTGGCCGATTCTTTGGCAACAACTGGGCTGCAGCATACAGAGACAGGTGAAAGACCAGCAACTAATGTCCTGCTATTGCATGTTAATGTAAAACCGTGGTAATCTGCATCCATGGTGGTTGCCGTTCTCTGTTTAAGATACTGGAAGCTGAGCCATTTCCAGGCTATAGAGTTGGTTCTGAAGGCATTAGAGAGCGCGTACGGCTCTGAGAAACCCACCATGACTTCTGCTGCTATGCGCTGGATGTACCACCACTCCCAACTGAAGGTACATATCAAGTTTGGATACCAACTGCAACATAGGTTTCTAAATTATGGTTTGTATCTTATACAAGATTGGTAAACACAGTGGTATATGCATTTCATATTCCATAAGCTCCAGTTTTTAAAACTTGACAGCTATAAGTATAT